GCCATCCTAATTGGTATGAAACAATATTTCCTTATAGTTCTGATGTGCATTTCCCTAGTGATTAGTGATGTTGAATATCTTTTCATTAACATTCTTTTAATTGTTCATATATCTAGTATAAGAATGTTTTTCTCAGTTTCAATTTTTCATGTTAAGAATAATGTTTCATACGAAAATATAAAATATTAAAAATCTTTATATGAAAGTGCAATTATAAGATTATCTAGCAATGAACTTCCTAGTTCAAAAGGGTATAACCTGTGTAGTGTTACCAGTGTTTCTACCAGTTTCTATGTACGTATTTGAGTGCTGATCTTCCCAAACACCATTGCCAATGTACTACCATGTTTCCCCGAAAATAAGACCTACCCCAAAAGTAAGCCCTAGCAGGATTTCTATGCATTTGTTTAATATAAGCCCTACCCCCGTAATAAGACCTAGTGATGCATTTCAGTACAGAGAGGAAGGCATCCCCTGAAAATAAGCCCTAGGGTATCTTCTTGAGAAAAAATAAATATAAGACAGTGTCTTATTTTCAGGGAAACACGGTATTATCAGACTTCTAGATTGAACACTGACCTTTTACTTTTAATTTTTTAATTTTATAAATATTTTATTTCAATTTCTGTTTCTGGGAACTTATCACATATGGTTGTGTTGTATGTATTTTTCTATTTTATTTCTCTATTCTATTTCAATTTTATTGTGTTCTGTTCTATTTCTGCCATATAGTATTTCAAACTGATGTACTATAACCCATGCATATATATGTATGCTATATATTATACTGGTTTCTTGTTGTTTTCATTAGTATATTTGGAATTTAAATTTTTTTGTTTGCAATTTAGATTGCCTCACAAAAGAAAATTCTTAATGTTTGTAAAAGTAATAATATTAAAATACATACTGACTTCCCAGGCAGGCTACCTGTGTAAGAATAGTCACATTCCCACTATAAAACCACCTGATGAAGGATAGGCAGCACAACTATTTCTTCAGTGAAATCCAGGCTGCTGGCTGGGCTCAGTGGCTCACACCTATAATCCTAACACTCTGGGAGGCTGAGGCAGGCTGATCCCTTGGGCACAGGAGTTCAAGGCGAGCCTGAGCAAGAGTTAGGCCCTGTTTGTACTAAAAATAAAAATTAAAAAAAAAAAAAAAACTGAGGCAAGAGGATTGCTTGAGCCCTAAGACTTTAAGGTTGCTGTGAACTATGATGCCATGGCACTTTACCAACAGCAATAAAGGGAGATTCTGTCTCAAAAAAAAAATAGTAAATAATACAGAAGATAAAATATGCAGGAATAAAGAACTAGTAATGTGTAGGACTTGTATGTAAAAAGATTTAAACAGCTAAAGGACGTGAAACATACTTGAAACAAGTTTAAATAAGTCGTACCATTCTTGAATGTGAAAACTCATTTTCCTTAAATTAATTTTAGTTCAGCTCCCATAAAAGTGCTAAGACTTTTATGAGACAGAGTCTCAAGCCATTGCCCTGGGTAGAGTGCTCTGGCATTAGAGCTCACAGCAACCTCCAACTCATGGGCTCAAGAGATCTTCTTGCCTCAGTTTTTCTATTTTTAGTAGAGACAGGGTCTTGCTTTTGCTCAGGCTGGTCTTGAACTCATGAGCTCAAGCTATCTACCTGCCTCAGCCTCCCTGAGTGCTAGACGCCACTGTGCCCACCTATTATGCTAAGACTTTTTTAAGTCTCAACAAGCTGATTCTCTCTTTTGTGTCAAAAAATAAACATAGAAACTTATCTAGAAACACTTTGGAAAAATATTCATAGTAAGGGTAGAACAGTGGATATTACAACTTTCAAAGCTTCGATACACGGGTCATTATGAAAGTTTTGATAGACACAAAAATCAAGAAATGTAAATCCATGTGGGAGGAAACAAATGAAAGCTTCCCAGCAACACCAGGAAACACCGTACTAAACCAGTAAGCTGAGCACGTTGCATGGGTGAATCAGAAAGGACGCTATTGACTGTGTTTCTAGAAATGTAATAATGGACAATATCCTAGTCTGTCTCAAAACTTTGATAATCACCTAATAAAATAATTCCTGACACATGAATACAAGTATATGGATTAACAAAATAAAATTAAAGTCCATAAATAGACCCAAATATGCACAGAAATTTCAGTGAATATTAGAACTCACATATCAAATCAGTGGAGGAAACAAACTAATACCTGATGTTGAGGCAACTGGTTAGCAATTTGAACAAAAGCAAAGTCGGAACCATGCCTTAAACACAACAATTAAAAATCCTAGTATTAATGAAATCATAGATGTCCTAAAAGGAAGTTATTAGTATGAAAATGACAGACTGTGGGAAAGGCCAAGCAATTATGATAAAAACTTCTGGGCAGCATGGCCCTATGGAGATCTATTTGGTTATAAATAATTACAAATAATCCAAAATTTCTACGTCTGGGAATACATTCTGCAGAAACTACCTAAACATTCATCAGTAGGGAACTGGAGCACTAAAGTATGCTGTTAGGACCTAAATCACCACTGAGAGACCACCATACACACATGTAAAAACAAAGAAGTGCTTTTTATTTAAATACAAGCATATGCCTGGGTCACTCCACCCTACAATGTAAGAGGGGCAACCCCCAAGGGATGCAAGCGGAGGTTTTTAAAGCTTATAGAGGAATTTCATCGGGTGTTTTGTCGGGCGGGGTTGCTATTGGCTGAGCTATTTCTGGTTAGAGACTTTCTAGAGAGGGCGGCTGCTTGTCTGTTTCTGATAAACTGGCTCCCTCTGAGCTGATTGACCTTGCCTAGAAGTGTGGGGGGGGGTCTCTTTCAGACTGGCTGCCCAGAAGTGTGGGGGAGGGAGCTAGTCTCTTTCTGATAGACTGATTCCACCTGGGTGAAGTTGCCCCGAGGGGAGTGGGGAGTTAGTTCCAAGATGGAGTTACATTAACCTTTTCATTCCCAAATGGGAGTTACATTAACCTCTTCATAGCCATAATATGGCATCTTTTACAGCTATATAAGAGGAAGGAGCTCTATAGATTGATATGGAAAGATCTCTAAGTTACATTGTTTAGTACAAAAAAAGTGTGTAGCACAGTGGGTATAATATTCTCTTATTTGTATACAATGGGAAAGAATGCATTATTAGATTGTTTGCATAAAGGTTTTCTTGAAGTATAAATAAGAAATGTGTCTTTTGATACTTAAATTATATGAATATATTGCCTACTGAAAAAAATTATAAAATAATTGATAAACAAAATAATATTATTAATCCTAGTTTCCTTTTTCTTACAGTAATTTTCCATGACTCAGAATAAAATCCAGGGCTCTAGATAATTTGGCCCCTGCCTCATCTTTATGTGACCTCTTTCTCAGCCAGCTTAGCCATTGTGGTTATCTTGCTTTGCCAGGAATCTTGTGCCTGGCATTTAACATCCTCCATGACTAACAAGTACTTCCCCCACATCTGTACATGGTAATACTTCTGTGCTGCATTCAGTTCTCTGCAGTCTATCAGAGAAGTATTCTCAGATTTATCTAAAATTCTAAAAGGGTAGGCCCTTTCTCCTCTACTCCAACCTCTGTTCTGCTTGATTTTTCTTGATAACACTACTACCCAGTGTTATTTTATATTCTGTTTATTCAATGTCTGTCTCCCCCACAAGATTGCATGTACCCCTAGAACACGGACTTGGTCTCATTTGTTGCTGGACCCCATCACTGAGACCAGTGCCTGACGCTTAGTAATGCTCAGTCAGTACCTAAGGTATGAGGGCACTGAAAGAGTTTCATATTTTGGGCCAAGTATGTAGGCTTTTAGGCCATTGATAATTGAAAGATTTAAAGTGCTACAGTTTCAAGTTTTCAGTAATTTCGCAGGGTAGTGTACATACAAATATGTTGCCTATTGTGTTTCCATGGGGACTTGTTTTTGTTTTTACTCTAAACAGAGCAGGTTTCACTATACCATTCCAAAAAAAAAAACAACATAAGAAATTCCCGATTTAAGAAATTGTTACTCCTGGGCAGCACCTGTGGCTCAAAGGAGTAGGGCACCGGCCCCATATGCCGAAGGTGGTAGGTTCAAACCTAGCCTCAGCCAAAAGCTGCAAAAACAAAAAAAAAATGTTACTCCCTACCTGTCCCTGATAGCATCTTATTAAACTTGAGTCTTCTGAATACTTTTCTTTCACCAATAATTATCAGTTTTATAACTTCAATTCTTAGATTATTGAATTTAGGGGCACTAACTTTTTATTATACTTGTAAAATGAATTGAATATTTAATATTTGAGATGGAGAGGATATGGTGATACTCTATATCATTGATTCCTTTATAAACATTTTTCATTTGTATTCTGTTTAGGCTATCCTGTTGAAATTTAGAATTACTGAGCTTAAATTAGAACATATGTGTAATAAGGAAGTTAAAAACATTAATTCTCTATTAAGATGTTTATTGAAATTACGTGCTTTATATAAATGTCTTATTTAACATTCTTGGGCTTATCTGCAGCAGTCTATGGCCAGCTGTCCTACTACCAGTTTAATAAAACAACTCCTAGAAATAATATCTTCAGTTTCCTCAAATAGAAATTAACATATTTCATCAATAAAGTTTAAAATTTTTATTTTGATCTTTTCCCAGCCAGGAAAATCACAATCTAGAAATGAATTTAAAATAAAAGACTTGGGTGGCGCCTGTGGCTCAATGGGTAGGGTGCCAGGCCCATATACTGAGGGTAGCGGGTTCAAACCCGGCCCCTGCCAAACTGAAACAAAAAAATAGCCAGGCTTTGTGGCGGGCACCTGTAGTCCTAGCTGCTTGAGGGGCTGAGGCAAGAGAATCGCCTAAGCCTAAGAGTTGGAGGTTGCTGTGAGCTGTGATGCCACAGCACTCTACTGAGGGCAATAAAGTGAGACTCTGTCTCTTAAAAAAATTAATAAATAAAATAAAAGACTTTTTTGATAACATCTTTTTTTATTATACCAGGTAGTTTTGGATGTTGGATGTGGAACTGGAATCCTCTCTATGTTTGCTGCTAAAGCTGGAGCAAAGAAGGTTCTTGGAGTTGATCAATCCGAAATACTTTACCAGGCAATGGATATCATAAGGTAGATGCATCTTAAGTCTTCATTTAAGAGTATTTTAAAGTTTGATGATGAACAGGTTTTCTTACTTTTAGTAACAATCTAATGCAGACTAAAGACATTTGTATTTTAGTAAAAATTCATTTCATAATAATAAAGTTTTAAGTTGAATTGAACTAGACATGTTTGAGGTATGGTGCCAAATCTTTTCACAGTTCTTATTGACAAGAATTACAGGGTATCCAAAGAGTTGCTTCTAAAGTCCCCATACATAGGGAAAATAGGAAATTGCAGCTAAATAACCTTTATTACAAAATAGTACAAAATACATACAAAGTATTCTCTGTGTGTTGGCCACTTCTTTGTAAAATTTTGTAACGAATATAAAGGTACATTTAGTTACAATTTCCCATTTTCCCTATGTGCAGTGACCTTAGGGGCAACTTTTGGGGTACCCTATAGTTTTATATAATTTTCTGGCTTTCCAGAAAGTTTTCTTGCTGCGAATGTGCTGATTCTAATAATACAAAATTAAAAATCATTGATACAAGGGGTTATATTGACAGAGGATGCTCTACAGAACTAAATATTTATATTTGTAGTATTTTCTTCCACAAATAGCACTTACGCTACAGACTAAAGGTTTTGTGTCTTTTTCTTTTGTGACAATACTAGCTCTGTACCTTTACAGATTAAGTAAATTCTAAAATGGCTAAAAGTAAGGCAGAGTAGATTTAATTTGTTTCTTAAAACTTAATTTTAGTGTCCAAAAGTATCTCCTTTCTTTTGAATACTTAAGTTAGGTAGGTTAATTGATCAATGATTGATTTTTACATTTGATTCACATTCTAGTAAGAAGGCCTTTATTTGAATATGGTTTATACAGCTAGACTTTAGCTATGTACATAACAAAAGCACCTTATGTTCAGAAATTAGGAGTAATTACCGAAATAAATAAGTATAAGAGACTTGTAATAACAATTTTTAAGTGCTCCTTCCAATTACACTTATGTTTCTTACTTAAAAGTGATTGATGTTGATCTTTTCTGATTAGTACAAAAGTTTAAAAATTATTATATGAATTGTTTAAATGTTTTAGATTTTATTCTGTGTTGTAGAGGGATAGTACTGTGATTAAGATCATAGATTTGAGTCAAGCTTGTGTTGGAATCCTTACTCTACCGCTTAACCAGTACACTGAACTTGGAATAAATTACCTATAACATGTTAGAAACTTAAGTTGTTTCACTGTGAAGTGAAAATAATAACAACTTCATGCTATTAATTAAGATAAATAAGTTATAAGCAACATATACATCATCTTGGCTTATTGTCTGGCACATGTAAGTATTTAAGTGTTAGCTATAGTTAATTATTAACATGTACCAAGTCAGTGTTAAAAGTTATTTTTATCTTGTTATAGATTTTTTTCATAGATATTGTTTTGTGGGTGTGATTTTTTATATTGGAAAATATGTATACGTATACTATATGTATACATATACAGTGTATTCCAGAATTGTGTGTATATTTATATATATCTATATACAATTCCATAATTTAGTAAAATTTTCTAGTTTTATGATAGCATTAAGTACATCATCATTATTTGTTATTCCATAACACCCTAAATGGCTTGTGCATTGTCATCCAAACATGAAAACCAGTATCCCAAAGAAGACATTTAGATCCATTTTCAAAAATTTGGTAAGATTATGGTAAAATACTTCTATTACAAGTTTTAGTACAATGAAAGTTTATGAATTTGTCATGCTTTATTTCTACAAAACGGGACTAGATGTACTCTCATTTTCACTTCTTACTCTGCAGAAGAAATGGAAAAGGATTGTGATAACACTCATATTGTTTTATTTGTTTTATTTCACAGAAACCCTGATTCCACTGACTTTGTAGAAAAGTATTTATACAATGATTACATTCAAGTTCATTGGACATAAAATTTAGTGTTAAACTAAATAGTGTCCAAACTTCTTAGAAAAACATTTAAAATGTTTCTGAAATGTACTTTAATTTTTGATTACTTAAAATAATGAGGAAAATGATAGAAATTGCTACTAGAGAGAAATTAATTCTCAGTCCCTGTTTCTTTGTGGTCATCTAAATGCTTTAGGGTTTACTGTTTTGGAGGAACAAGACAGTGGAATTAAATACGTTTGTGATATATCTGTGATCTCCTGGCAAAACCAATTGCTTAAAAATTTATATTTTCTAAAGTTAATATTTTGTCAAACTAATTGGTCTACTCAGTCTATGTAATTCTTATAATTTAATACCTGTACTAAAAGCCTTAAAAATATTTAAAAATATTATTTAAAGATAATCACTGTAATTTTATTCAGATTTAAGAATTTTTTTTCTCCCCACATGATCCTAAATATTTTTATTAGCATTAGAAGACTTTCTAAGGTATATTTATGACTGGTGCAGAGCCCAGAATAGTTAGGGATTTAATTATTCCTATGCTTTTTAACTCTTCAGGAACCTGCCTCTGTATATTTGATCTAAGGGTAGTAGACACCTATTTGTGTTTATTGGTTTTATTTCCATTATATAGCATCTTGCTTCCTCACCAGTGGGCAGAAACAGAAATGTGAACAAATGCACATGTTCACATTTCTGTGAACACATTTGATTCAGCAGATGGCAGCTATAGTCATAAAGGAATGCTTTTCCGTCTTCTCAGAGACAATAAATTGCTTCTTTCAAGTCATCTTCAGCTTTTCACTTGTAAATCCAGAACTACAGAGAATGACACTTTAATAGTATATATGGGATTCTACTTAAACATGTTTCTGGTAGAACTGCAGTTATGTTAGCTAAGTGAGCACATTCACTAAAGAGATTTTCACAGTGATAATGAGGTTTGAAACCCAGCAATCTAGCGTAATAGCTTTTCATTAAAATTATTAAGGTATAAGATACCTGGGTCCTAAAACTCTGACAACCTTCAGGGTAGAATAGAGATACATGATTTCTTTGGATGGGGATCATCTGCCTCTAGTCACTGTTATGCCAAAGGACTTGTCTTTAAACTTTCTGTGTATATTTTTGAACAGAAAGTTTGGTCATTTTCAATCAAATTTAAATTTTGAACACTAATTTTAATGTAGCGGTGATATATGAAGCAAATATTTCAAGCTGTTCTTTGTTATTCTTAATATCCTTTCATTTTTACCAGTGTCTGTCCTTTCAGTCTTGCAGAGTGTCATTTTTATAAGATTCCCTGCTACGTACAAAGTATTTCTGGAACTTTTGCTTATCAGGTAATAAGTAGTTGTGATAGTGAATCATACAAAAAAAAAAAAAAAATCCACTACTGCACGTAATCCTTTTCTTTAACATTAACGAGAATGTTAAAGTTCATCAGAAAAGTTTCATTTGTAACAATTACTACTGAATGTGGTAAATAAAACAAAATGCCTAAAATTTATATTTAATAAAATTTAGCTAAGTGAACATTCTGTATAGAGTATGTCTATTATAAATAAACTGCAAAATATAATAGCATATTTTTATAATTTTAAGACATTACACATGAAAGTATATATCTAGAAGTTTAACAGGTGGCACCTGTGGCTCAAGGAGTAGGGTGCCAGCCCCATATACCCAGGGGTGGTGGGTTCAACCCAGCCCCAGCTAAAACTACAAAAATAAATTAATATAATAGAAGTTTAGTGAGGAGAAGTTTATTAGGTAGCAGCTTTACTTTTGATTCTGAGAGAATAGCCATATACTGTAACTTTGTAGTCATGGATTTTACATAGAAAAAAAAATTATATACACATAAGACTTGTTTTCTAAACACTTAAAACACCTTAATGCGTGTTCTTCTCACTCCTTTATACAGAGTAGAAACTGAACAGGTAGATGTACTTAAAAGTCTAAGGAAGTGAATTTGTTATCTCAGTTTTTTGTACTGATAACTAAGCTTATACATCTATTAGAGGTTGGACACCACACACCTACTAGATGTTATGTACTAGGATTGTACCTATACATAGCCACTGCATTTGGCCTAGGCAACATAGAGAGGCAATATCTCTAAAAAAGGAAAAGAAAAAGAAATCAAAGCAGGTAACTACTTCTTAGTAGTGAAGCCAGAATTATATCCCAGGCAGTTTAACTGTGTAACCTATTCTCATAGCCAATTTGTTATTCTTTATCTTCACTTAACTACTTACAGGGTATGTATTGGTTACCTTCAATAGTTAGCTTTACTTAGAACCTATACAGCAGTGATTCTCAGCCAGTAGGGATCTTAGTTATGCCACAGAATTTTTTAAGGATCATTAATTAAATATTTTCAAAAGACATTAAGCCACAATAAGTATATCCTTTTTTTTTTACTCTTTGTTTTTTGGTCAACATAATTTAAGTGTGCCATGGAAGTTTTTAGGTTCAAGAGTGCAGTGAGATTTAAGAAAAGGTTGAAAAACACTATAGAGAGTTGGAAAAGTAGACCTTTTTGTTTTAGATAAGCCAACATTGTACTGTTTCTTCAGAAATGTTCCCCTTTGCCTTTTTATATTGTGAAAAGACAGCTGTTTTTGTAGTGTCCATATGCATCTCTTTGTCTTCCGTTTGAAATTTTGAAATTTATACAATGAAGTATAACAAATTCTGTTCTTATATGAATATACCTCTAAAAGAATGTGCAGGATAACAACAGATGTCACAGAGATGCCAGAGATCATCTTTGATCTCTTGAGTACTACAAGAAACTATATGCCGAGAAATCTGACAATGTGGAGGAAATGGACCAATACCACTGTATACTGCATATACAGTGTAGTATAACAAGTTCTGTTCTTATGTGACTATACCTCTAAAAGAATGTGCAGGATAACAACAGATGCCATAGAGATGCAAGAGATCATCTCTGAGTACTACAAGAAACTATATGCCGAGAAATTTGACAATGTGGAGGAAATGGACCAATACCTCAAATCACACCTTCTCCTTCGACTTAACCAAGAAGAAATAGATCTCTTGAACAGACCAAT